CTGTTGGTATGGCTTACTTGCAGGTATCACAAGAACATCTGGAAACATATATACATTAACATCATTAGCTGATAAAAGACTGACAAGAGTTTCCTTAATCTATCATGATCAAGAGCATCTAATTCAGCTTATCAATCCGATCTCTCTCTTAGGGCAAGCCGGCCCATATTGCCCCAATAATGATGCCTCCTCAACAGTAAATGGCTCAGCAGCCGCTCTTTGGTGACCTGGCCTGACACGGGTGACCTTGAGACCACATCAAAGGTCAAGCCGCGGTAGGTCAGCTGACCCAGCCCAGGTGAGGAAAATGGGTGTGCATATTAAGCATGGTAGAGCTGTTTTAATTATAGGAGAATGCTGGAAAGTTTGTGTCTTTCGTGTATGTATGAGTGATGGATAAGGCTCGGCCATGCAATTATCTCGATGCTCGTTCACGGATGATCATTTAAATAATGCATTAATGCTCTGTGGGTTTTCCGTATCTTTTTATGCTAATGCATCGCCGGCGCGCCCTGCCTGCCTTTCCTCCGCCATTTCAGCTTCTCTTCTGCGGTTCTTTCGACTGCCTTGATCGCTGGAAGAGAATCATAACGACGGTGGTAATGGCACTGAAGGAGAACGACGGTAGTCATTATGGTAAAACTGATAACAATAGTAAAAGTGAATGATAACAATGATATAGTAAGAAACATACTCATGATTATGATAATGATTATAATAATTATAATTACTATCATCATTGCTGTTATTATTATTATTGTTATTATTATCTTCATTGTTGTTGTTCTTGTCGTTCTTCTTGTCATTACTGCTACTACTACTACTACTATTGGTGCTGCTACTACTTCTACACCACTACTATCATTATCATCATCATTATTGTTTATATTATCATCACCACCATTATCATTATTATTATCAATACTATCATTATTAATAGTACTACTGTTGTTCACCATCTTCACCATGCTATCATTATCATCATGATGTTATTCATCCCCACACACACATCTTTATAACTAGCACAATGCATGCTTAAATTGCCCTTTTCCGTGATGGGCAAATTGCTCAGGCAATATTCATACAATATTCATACAACTGATCGAAACAAACTACACAAAATCACAAAATGTACTGCACTGCGTTTAAAAAAAACATACACACATTTGCTTACTCATAATCACACACATACATTCACTCACACATTTACAAACAGATATAAACAAATATACATACATAAGAACACATGATACACATATGTACACACGCATCTACATTTATCCATTTACCTACACACCCAAACGTTTACACATACACATGCATATATATGTAGACACAAATCTGTATCTATCTACTTATCTATCCACACACACACACACACACACACACACACACACACACACACACACACACACACACACACACACTCAAACACGCACGCGGCGCGCGCACGTACACGCACACAGATAGTTTGCTTCTTTAATAGTCATTTAATCTCGCCGATATCCTGGCCATAATTAGTGCCTTTATCTACCCTCCCTTCGTCTTTTTCCTCTTCCTCTGTTCATTTGTTCCCAATTTCTACAGCAATTTTGATGATTCGCTGTTCAAAGTTTGTAGTGTCGACTACTTTGGAGATTTGCCGTTAGATGGCACTGTAGTCGGCTGATGTCTTTTTTTTTTCTTCATCATTTTCTAAACGCTGGCTAGCTGGTGCTTGTCAGATTTGGTCCAAGTGAAATGGATTTTTCACAGAGGTTAACTTTCTTTTGTTATTAATTCCAGGTCGATAACCATCATTCAAAATGCCAAAACTTTATTCTGAGAATTTCATCAGTTATCTACGAATATATGGTATTTTGTTTTAGACCCGTCCTCAAAGTGTTACGAAAAAATGAAAATAGAAATAAAACAAACTGAGCCATAATAGGATTTACAGTGCAGCAAAATAAAACTGTGAGTACTAAAGATGATCTCCCTCTCCCTCCCCCCTCCCCCCTGCCTGCACACATTTGATGAAATGGGGACGGGGGGGGGGGGGTGAAAGAAGAAGTAAAGACAAAATTGGAAATTCGGAAACTTGCTAAATTATAAATGATGTGGGATTGAAAAATATACATTTTGATGTGGGGCAAGAATAAGAGAATAACAAGCGACGAATATGTAGATATATAAATAGATAGATAGATAGATAGACCGATAGATAGATTTGCAGTTAGATAGACAGGTAGACAGTAGACTGACAGATAAATAGACAAAGAGAAAAAGAACGAGAGAAAAAGTGAAAGAGAGAAAGAGAGAGAAGTAGGATGGAATGCAAAGACAGGAAGAGAGATGAGTAGACAGATAGTGATACAGACACAGACAAACAGAAAGACAGACTACAGAGAGAGAGAGAAACAACATAAAATCGCCATTAAGAATCGCCCCGAAAGTAAAGGAGAGAGCGAGTGAGTCAGACACGTATATTCATGTGTGTGTACATACAAGTATACAAAAAGTGAGATTATAGGTTGCGCTAGATTCAATTAATCAAATGATACGTTATAAATTATGGCATCCGCAGAAGGGGAGTGATTTATTTGATCCTCGATAGAGAAATTGCATCGGGTGAAAATCCCGTCTGATATTTGATGATGATACGCTCAAGGTCCGTTTATCTCACCGCCATCAGAAACAATGATTATAGGTGTTTACGGAAAGACTAAAGGAAAAAAAGAGAAAGAGAAAAACTGCGAAACTTCTTGTCGTTTATTTATGCTACCGCGTTTTTTTATCACTTGCCATTGCGAGAGGCAGATCGAACGTGGATGAATAGATTCCGACGCGATTGCAATTTTGGGGTGGGCTGACGTAACCAGATAGCGGAGGCAGACAGATGCTTGCGTGCAGATTCGTGCGAGAAGAAAGCGAGTGACGTCAACAGCGGACGTGGGAGACTCCTGTTCCCTCCGCACACGGCTCCCTCCTTCTGCTTCGTCCCTCCTTCCCGCAACCCTTCTCTAATTCTACCCGCCCCTCGTCCTCCTCTCACCTCTCTTCCTTCTTTTCTTTCTTTCATCTTCTTCCTCTTCCTTCTCCTCCTTCTCCCGACTCTCTCCTTCTGTTACATATCTTCTCTCTATCTCCCTTACCGCCCCTTTTTCTCATCCCCTTTCTTCCCTCCGCTTCAAGTCACCTCATTCCTTCTAAACCTCCTCTCGCCTCCTCTTCTATCCTCCTTTATCCCTCTCTGGCTCCTCTCCTTTCTTCCTCCCACTCTCTCAGAACCTTCCGAATCTTTTACTCCGCCCTCTCTCTCTCTCTCTCTCTCTCTCTCTCTCTCTCTCTCCTCTCTTCTCTCTCTTCTCCTCTCTCTCTCTCTCTCTCTCTCTCTCTCTCTCTCTCTCTCCTCCCTACTCTTTCCTCTCTCCCCTCTCTCTCTACACACAGCTGTTCTTCCATCCTCCTGTCCCCTCTCCCTCCCCTAGGAATGCCTTCACAACTCGGTAATTGGCGAGTGTGTAATTAGGATGTGCAAAGTGGATTTTTCTCCTTCTCGCATATACACTACATGATAGACTGTGAAAATCGAAACGAAAAGGAGAGAGATAGATAGATAGATAGAGAGAGAGAGAGAGAGAGAGAGAGAGAGAGAGAGAGAGAGAGAGAGAGAGAGAGAGAGAGAGAGAGAGAGGAGAGAGAGAGAGAGAGAGAGAGAGAGAGACAGAGAGAGAGAGAGAGAGACAGAGAGAAGAGCAGAGAGAGAGAGAGAGAGAGAGAGAGAGAGAGAGAGAGAGAGAGAGAGAGAGAGAGAGAGGAGAGGAGAGAGAGAGAGAGAGAGAGAGAGAGAGAGAGAGAGAGAGAGAGGCTTCCCTCGGCCTCAAAATCTTCGTCTAAAAAATTAGGTTTTTGCAATCCGGTTCTTCTCAAATGCTACCTTATAGGCTGAACGTCGAAGCTTTCATGATTATAACATAATTTTATATCTCATCGTAATTTCGGTATAAGACGTGTGTAATTAAATATCTCGGTAATTATATCTCGAGCAATAATTACCAGACGAAGAGCCAGACCCGAAAATGGACTGTCATTACAAGTATCAGAATTATCGCTAAATTACGATCGTTCACAAGCTACTATAATTACTGAGGAACACGGCGCCCGAAGAGAGGGGAGAGAGAGGGAGAGAGAAGAAGAGAGAGAGAGAGAGAGAGAGAGAAGAGAGAGAGAGAGGAGAGAGAGAGGAGAGAGAGGAGAGAGAGAGAGAGAGAGAGAGAGAAGAACAAGGAGAGAGAGAGAGAGAAGAGAGAGAGAGAGAGAGAGAGAGAGAGAGAGAGAGAGAAGAGAGAAGAGAGAGAGAGAGAGAGAGAGAGAGAGAAGAGAGATGAGAGAGAAAGGGAAAGGGGGGAGGGATGAAGAGAAAGAGAGAGATAGAGATGAATAGAGAGAGAGAGAGAGAGTGGGGTAGGGAAGGAGGAGGGAGAAAAAGAAAAATAGAGAAGAGGGAGACAGACAGACAGAGAAATAGATGAAGGCAGACAGAGAGAGAGAGAGAACCTGAAGCGAAGGAGGGAGAGAAGCAAACGAAACAAATTGTGAGGCATTACTAAAAATACGCACACAAAAAAAAAGCATTCTCTTCTAGTCTTCTTAGTTGCTATCTATCTCTACAAACTACTTTATCGAGAGTTTAGATCATCTCTTCTATCTATCTGTCTACTTATCTATCTTTCTTTCTCTCCATCTACTCTCCCCTCTCTTTCCCTTCTCCTCATGACTTATATGCTGATTCTAATAACTGGATTGCTTGCGCGCACACCGGGGCGGCGCGCGGTGCTGTTCTCGCGACTATACGTTTCTCATTCATTTTTCCTCGCTACTTGAGACACTGATATCGGGTTAAATTAGTAAATAAATGATTATATGTATGTCTTGTGATTGTGTGTGTGCGTGTTTCGTAAAGTGTACAAGCACACACCACAACCACACACACACACACACACATATATATATATTAT